GTCCTGTGCTCCGTGTTTGCCAGGACTGTGCCCAGAAGCACAGGACAGTGTCCAGGAGCAATCCAGTAGGGTGACTCTGCATCGCTCCTGGTTCTACAGCCTGCAAGGCAGCTTAGCCCCCCTGCATTTTTGTGACTATAGAGGGATGGCCACAGGGTGTGCCGCTAGGATCTTCCCAGAGAGAACTCGCTTCGGCCAGTGGAGTCAGCTAATGGCCTTCGGGACCTGCTGCTGGCTCAGAGCTGAGGAGTCTCCCTTGGGTGTCCCAGCCAATAGCTGAGCATAGCAGGAGGAGCAGGGCCTGCAGGTGGCTACCCAGTCCCCCCCACTTCCCACTGAGGGTCTCTGTGCTGAGCCCCCTGAGCTGGGGGAGGGCGGCTGGCAAGTCTTCCTCGGAGTTGTATTGTGTGGGAGGCTCTTTATACCAGATCCTCCGCCTCTGACTCTCCTCTCACAAGTGTGTCACCTGCAGGCTCACCTTGCCCACGACTCCTCCCCTGTCCTTTACCTTTCACAGGTGTTATTCCCAATAAATTGAGTTTCTGATCTGTTCTGCTTCCTGGGGGAACCAACCTGACACAATGAGCTAACACCCTTTAGTAAACCACACTTTTGAAGATAACCCAATAGTTCTAACTGAATATACCCTAAGAATCCCGTTTGAATTAGTGAGGGTGTCCCTTCCCGGTCTTCCACAGCTTCTGTTGATGGATGGGTCTCTGCAACCGCAGTCATGCCGAGTGTTCTTGGACAAGGTGTAGACACTTGAATAAAGCTGAATCAATCAGGGGCTTCTTTCTCATGAATTTAAACAGAGATGTTGAAACCATGGTTATATGGTATCAAGAACTGGCTGTAAGATCATGTTGTACTGGCACCATGGAAACATCATGTAAAACAAAGCTACAAGGAAACAGAAAATAAAGGCCTTGGAGAGGAAGCGAGGCGGCTGCAGATGTGGAGAACCAAGCACAGAGGAAACACTATAGCATGACCCTTTGGAATACAGTCTGGCAGTTTCTCACAAAACTAAACATACTTGTACCATACAGTCCAGCTCCATGTTCCTTGGTATTTAACCAGAGGAGTTAAAAACTTACATCCACCAAAAACCCTACGCAGTGATGTGTATAATAGCGTCATTCATAATTTCCAACACTTGAAAACAAACAAGAAGTCCTTCCGCAGGTGAATGGATAAACAAACTGTGGTATATCCAGGCAATGCGATGTTATTCAGCATTGAAAGAAATGAGCTATCAAGCCACGAAGAGACATGAAGGAACCTTACGTGCATGTTACAAAGTGAAAGAAGCCCATCTGAAAAGGCTACATACTGTATGATTCCAACAATATGACGTTCAGGAAAAGGTCAGACTGGAGACAGTCAGAAGTCAGTGGTTGCCTGGGGTTGGGTGGAGAGGGGTAAGTAGGTGAGCACACAGACATTTTAGGGGAGTGAAATCTCTGTATTATACTATAATGATGGACACATACCGTTACACTTTTGTCCAGACCTGTAGAATTGACCACATTAAAAGTGAGCCCTATTATAAACTATGGACGTTGGTGGTGGTGATGTGTTTATGTAGGTTTATGGAATGAAATGCATGTACCACTGTGGCTGATAACGGGCGAGGCTGTGATTGTGTGGGAGCAGGGAATGGGGTATGTGGACAATCTCTTCTTCTCAGTTTTGCTGTGAACATAAAACTGCTCTAAAAAATAAAGTATTAGAACACAAAACAAATAACTAGAGCACCGCGGACAAAATAACTGCATGATGTCTGAGACCATAATTCCTTGGTCCCAGGTCCCCCGAAGTCTAGCTGCACAGGCGGCTGCAGGCTCCATGAGGACCCTGTGTGCTCTTCTATTTGACCCCCTAATATTGCAACCAGTCTGAGCCATCAAACAGCTCCCAAGACAACTGCTCGAAAGCAGGTTTACGTACTTACTCTTCGCAGGCTTGAGCTGCATTCAGTTCCTTTCCACTGCTGCTAGGAAGACTCGGAGTCAGTATCAAACTGATGTCTTTTTGCTCTTGCTCTGTTTGCCTGAATCCCATTCAGTGACATGTACCACGTGGACTAAAGGGTTTTGAGTAGCCTAATGTTAATGCCACCCCCACCCCCGTCCCCCCACCCGTGGTTTGCTTTGTATTTCTAGTCCATGTTCTTGCAAACCTACCAAAATCCAAGGTACTTTGAGATATATTTTTTCAAAATATAAAATAAAAATAAAGCAGGCAAACTACATACAAATTTCCATTTAATCCCATAAACATTGACCAAACACCTCTATGTGGCCAGCACTATGTATTGCCTCTGAAAACGATGAGCATCCACACAATCCAGTGCACCGGACCTTAACATTATCATCGTTCGGTAGAAAAGCCACACATATAAAATTAAAAATACAAAAACGAACGGTAACAATATAGTGTCAAGTTTAAGTGCTCTAGGCATTGTAGATACTTAATATGTATTGCTGTTAAGTGTTATTGGAGACAATGCATCAGCTCTAATTTTGTAGTCGTGATTACATTTTAGATCTTTACAGATAAACCAATTATTCATTGAGTTAAAGTAGTTTCAAATGTATCAGATATGTCAGTTCTTCTGGCCAGTGAATCCTTGTAGGAAGCTCCTCTGTTTGTTTTGCAATCCCCCATAACCTAGCACAGGGTTGTAGTCACTTAATACACTTGACTGATTGAGCTGTAGGACAACCAAACAGGAAAACGCTGTAGTGTTTAGACGTCCTTCTTTTGCTCTTAGAGTATGTGAACTCTTCATTTTATTTTGTTATTTTCTCACACAGTGTAACTAGACACTGTAAGAATCAATACTACAATATATTTAATGTGATATCAAACAATTTACTCTCACTGACATTTTGAATTTATAAAAATTATTTTAATTATAATTCAGAATAAAAATAAATCAAGACAAACAGAATATGTAATTTAACAAATTCAAAAGATTTAGAAATACATCTGAAATCACTCTTCATCCAATTATTCACAAGTGTTTAAAATAAATCCCTGATCAATAAGTTTTGAGACTCTAGAATAGTAGCTTTTGAGCATGACCTCGAAATAAACTAGTCTTTCAAAACACACCAAATACAAATATTTTAATGAGGTGATTTGGGGAATATACTTGCAAAAGCTACTCTAAGGGCAAATACCATTTATTAATTTGTTTAGTTTAGCTAAGGATTTGCATTCCCTGTAAGGTTGTTTCAGATCTTTTACATTTTACTCAGATCCTCGTCCTGACACCACTTTCCTTACAACACCTGACAGGTGAAACGAGCCTCTAATTATTTTAACTTAAAGATCAGGAAACTCATGTTTCCCTCACTGTCTGTACCTTTGTCCCTCCTTGTCTCAGCTAATCTGCTTTCCAGCCTCAGTTAGAAGCGACGTCTCCCTCTCTGTGCTGGACCAACCTCTGCCCGGTGTGCTCGTCCCCACCCTCCGCGCGGCACACACCACCCGCTCCCCCCTGCTGCCTTCCCCCTTACCACCTTCCAATGGTGTGTTCCATTCACTGGACAAACTACAAGCGAAACTCAAGACACCTTTCCTTTGCGTTTGTACTCCTCTGAACAACTAGCCCCTGGCTTCTTCTCCCCCCTGGCACCACGTTGCTTGACATGAGCAACTTCTTCCTTCTTCCTCCTTCCCCTCTTCTTCCTCTCCCTCACATCCCTCTCCCCTCCCCTCCTCCCTCCCTCCCTCCCTTCCTTTATTCTTTCCTTCCTCCCTTCTTGAAAGGCTTGCTTTATTTCTTTTTTTACGTGCCCCCAGCGGGAACGAACCCGGGACTCTCTGGTCCGCAGGCTGATGCTCCAACCGCTGAGCCAAACTGGCCAGAGCTTGCTCTGTTTCTTAGCTCCTCTAACCCCTGGGCATCTGGAAACAACGGGCACCACTGCTGAGCATGGAGAGTCAGCACCTACCAAAGGTGGGCTTGCTGCTGCTCGGAAAGCCCTGTGGCGGGGGCTGTCACTCCTCGGAGACCTGGGACCCCAGACACCGATCCTCACATTGCCGCGCAGTTCCCTCAACTTTTCCACAGGCTTCCTCGCTCTTTCCCGAACCCAGTCACCCTGCCTTCCAGCCAGCGTCCGGCCCTCCCTGCTCCGGCCCGCACGCCTCCCTGTGCCTGCTGCTGGATGAAACTCCCCGGCGGCTCTGGGCTCGCACACTGAGGCCTGCTTCTGGCTCCTTCGGGGATCCACCACCTTCTCCCACAGCCACGACCCAGCAAACCTCAACCATGTTCCACTCACTGCCCTGGACTTTCCAGCCTCCATGCCTGGAATGACTTTGCTTGCTCCCAGGCGAGGCCTAGCAGCGCCTATCAAACTTCAAAGACCAAATCCTCACGAGTGTTTCGCTAGTTCAGAGCTTTTGTCTGAAGTTCTGGCAGCTTTTATCAGCATCTTGACACTGATCCTGTCCTTGGATTATTTTCCTTCACAAGGCTGCGCCCTCTCTCAACGGGCGTGGTCCTCGACATAGGCAAGTGAACACCAGGCTGATGGTCGTGGGTCTGACTCCTCCTCTCATCCTCGCTGAGGACACAGGTCGGCAACTCACCGCCTTTAATCAGCACTTTTCCCAGATGGAAGGTTGGAACAACAACACCCCCCTCCCCCAATTGTGGTGAAAATGATAAGAGATAGCAAAGAATTCTTAGACGCCCAAACATGTTTATAGATTTTATTTTTTGCCCTATTTTTTACTTTAGGCTGAAGCTGCCAGTGGTAATAACACATGTCATTTCCCCCCGTTTTTTGACAGGCTACAGAATATAAATGCCAAACGTTTCAATAGTTTACATTTATTCTTGTTTTTCTTGAGGGAAGCAGAAAAAGGAAACTGTTCCTTTAAGTATTCTTCCTTGAAATGAAGAAGAAAGGAAGGGGAAGGGAGAAAGAGAAAGAGGAGTAAAGTGAGAGAAAAGGAAAGTTGGAAAGAGGAGGGAGAGGCATTTCAATACTTTTATGTGAGAAAAGTATGTGATTGAACTGAAAACACAGAGTCCTTCCAAAACACAGTATTTATAAAGCCCAGTTCCTTCAAATTTCAAAACACTACAAACACGGGTCAGCCTGCAAGTCAAATAAACGGCTCCCATCTACTCCCCGCTTTCTGAAGAGACTTGCTCCTGGATGAATCTTAAGCAACTGCTGTTTTCTCAGCAGGGCTTGGCCGGCGCTGCGACCTGGCCAGGCCCTGGCAGCAGGGACCAGGGACGCACCTCCCAGCTGCGTGCTGGGCCTTGGCTCCGCACAGGGGTGTCCTAAGTAACCCCAGCAGAGGAAGTGCAGGGTTCTGTCCTAATCACCAAGCGAAGCCGGAGCTGGCTCCATTCTGCCCCTGCCCAAGCTCCCCCCATGCAAACAGCAAGTATAAACGGTGAGAAAACATCCTAGGACCTAACTTCTGTGCAATAGCACTGATTCATTTCCCTTTGGGGGTTGCTGAAAGACTTTGCTCAGAGAGAAATCTACATCATGTTTAATCTTCCAGGGAGCTGGCATCTCATCAGTCATCTCAGAACCTAAAATGTATCGATCGCTAGGACACTGCAGCTTTGTAACAGCCGCTCAGTGTTCTGGCCAAGTACCCGTGTCACCGGCTTAACTAGAGGCTGGGTGTTTCCCAGTTGTCAAACAATCTTTTCCTATTTCAGAGTCAGAAATCAAAGCATTCACTCGTAAAGGAATCGAGTAGTTTGGAACACAAACAACCTAAGTATTTATTTGAAAAACATTTCCATTTAAGTACAATGGCACAGCGGCTACGGTAGCTTCTCACTACGAATTCCCGTCTGCATCACAGTCATTTTTTCATGCTTCATATTCAAGGACACCGCTACAGAAATCTATTTCACAATGTATTTAGAAAAAAAATATATACAGTCTCCCCAGTAGAAAGTTAATTAAAATAACAAGGCCAGGCGATGTAAAGCTAAGATATAAAACAAGCTGACATTTATAAACACAAATAAATAAATATGTACAAAAGAGTCTATGACAACAATGAACTCAGAACAGCTTTACAGCACAAGTACACAAGAAGGGAAAACATCACAGATGCCAGACTAAGGTTCTAACAACAATGTAGCCTAAAAAAGAAAAAAGGATGAAGAAAAATAACCCAGAGAGTCTGAATTGATACCAGTGTCAAAGTTCAGTTAAAACGAAATCTTAGCTACATTCCTGTAATTCTGTTCTGAGGGGTTAAATGAAGGTGAGAATTGTAGGCTTAGAACTGAGGGCAGAAGTTGGCTCAGTCTTTAAATCTACCTGCAAACGTTTCTATTGAGCTGTTTCTGTATTTTTTCCTCACCTGGTTACTGGACATTTCTAAAGTGGAGCCAGCATTGTTGTCACTATGAATACAAAGGTTTTCCCAGAACTGGATAAATATGAGTAGGAATCTAAGTCATTTTTTGTAGCTATCTCTTAATCACTGTTAACTCAATAAGCACTCCGGGTGGAAATCCGACAGTAGAAAGCTAATTAAATTCTATCGTGAATCTCTGAGGCTTGGGGAAAGTATATGAAGATGTAGTGACTACTTAAGGTTCATTTTCCTCTATATGTAATCTCTGCCAGAATAAGCGGTCTGTTAATATGTCTACAGAAAAGGATCTGGCTCTACTGCAGTGGATCTTAGTGATTTTAAGATTTATTATCCTTCCCCAGTATAGACACCTGTCCCCTGTGAAGGCCAAGCTGGGCAGCGCTCATGTCACCCAGACAGTGTTCTACGCTGCTGCAAAATGGAACAGTAATCAAATCCATTGCCACATTATCTTATCATCCACTCAAGCCTGGCAAATGGCTTTATGACTGAAGATCAGCAAAAGGGGCGAGGCCCCTTGGTGGCTTCACAATCCTGAATGTTCTCCTGCGTCTCAAGCTGAGAGCTACTGTCTCTGCACAGAGGGAATGGCCCCCAGCTGCTCAGCTCTGGCTTCCGGTATCTGCCTTTAGGCGGATTGGTTCCAGAATGTCTCAACGTCCAAGCACATAGGCTGCTACCTCCCAGACTCTGCACCTTCCCAGATAACCCAGAGCAAATGTGAGGGCACAGCATGTACTGGGACCGATTTGTAAGAAACTGGATACAAATCCATCATTGAAGAACAATTAAAATGTGGTCTCCTAAACATTCACTAGCGAGCATATTACTCAGAATAGTTTGAAAGTTAGGTAAGCTGCTTAATATTATGCATGGCTTTGGAGGCAGAAACCTAATCCATAAATAACACACAATCTATCTTGCCAGACCTCCTCTGGCTCTTATAATCAGAGGACTTATGTACAAATAGTTTATAGACTAGCAATTGTAGACCCACATGTTTATAAATTATTTTGATTATGATAAGTCATCCATTTGTCTCAGTTTATATTCCTTGGAACAAAACTCTTAAAAGGGGAATAAGAGGCTTTTCATTTGTGCGATTGCAAATGTCTGCAAGTCTGCAGAGCAAGAACAGGAGCAGAGAGTCTCGATGGTTGTATTTCTAAAAGGGAGAGACTACTGTACCCAGCGTGCCTCATGGACATTCTCTCATCCCTCCCATGAGCCTGTGGTCTCAATCTACAGTAGAGGAGCAAAAGCAGAGGTATAAAAGATTCATTCTTCAACAGCTACTGGGATTCCACATTAATGGACCGTCAACACTAGACTTGATTCAAACGCATGGGGTTCAATGATAATGATGATGCTTAAGCCTTGTGTCTTGACTAGGATAAGTGTAATGGTATAAATTTGCATGGCCTCATATTAACTACTTCAAAATTTGGGGAATTCTTTCTTTCTTAAGCATATTATGTTCCTGAAGGTTGAACATTCTTCTGATCTCATCTACAGGTCAGAACTTCTTTTGTATCTATGGTTGAAATTCCATTGAAAAGGAGAAAATATGCCATTGTCCTCACAGAAACCAGCACTGAGCTGGCATGTGTGGGCATCCAAAACAGCCAGAAACATCAGTATGCTTTGATTGTTGAGAAAAATTTTGATGACGCAAATGGCAATATCCAAACCTAACTATGGGGTGGGGTGCGAATAAGCTCTACACTAGGGTTTGTCCCTAGCTCAGCCTCTCCCTTCTCCTCTAATTTTAACACCCCCCCCAAGTTCTGATTCGTCTAATTCAATTACATATTTTAAAAATTCATTTTTCCTGTGGCCACTGAGTACTGTTGCTCTCAGTACTGAAAGTTTTGGCGATGGCGGAAGCTTCCCCTTGGAACCAGCTCTCTGAAAAGAAGAATTCTGAATTTCACAAGACCTTTTTAAACATAATACATTCCTCCTACAAATGCAGTTACCTAGGTAATGGCTTGTTTACATCTGCTAGTCCCAGTTTTCTGCTTGCAAGTCACGTTTCTGCCGACCGAGTCTTCTTTGCTCACATTAACAGCATCAAAACTTTGTGCTGTGGCTGAAAGTGTCTGACATGATAATATTTTTATAGAAGTTATCTGAATGAGCATTGCAATAACCCTTGACCTTATCGATGACCTGATGAACAGGGATGATTGATGTTTGTTCTCCATCAGCATGGGTCGGTTTGAATGAGGACTTGTCCATGGAAGCATTGTCTGTAAAAAATAATATGACAAGTTAGGCTGCAAGAAGAGCTGGTGACATGCCTAAGGGGCACCACACTGGACACTGTATTTTGCACATTAAAAAAGTACACAGAGGAAATGAAGCTCTGGTTCTTTCTTAGGTTGGGTACTAGGCAGCACTACACATTCAGGGTTTTCATCTTCAAAGTGCATTCCTCCTATGAATAAATCAATGTTAATTTGCCTGCTAGTAATCTGTGTTGGGGTTTGTTTTAAAATATGTTCCTGTAGTCATATTTGTCAAAGAGCTGATGAATAGAATAATCAGAAAATTGCTGCAAAGAAACAAATGTGTCAAAGGCTCAGATGAAGAAGAGACAGAGTATATAACAAATGACTGAAAAGCTGCTGATATATTTATGGAAGAAAAGATATGATATCTAAGATATGTTTTTAAAGTAATGCAGAGAGAGAAATTGGGTAGATGACTATGAGTTGACAGGTACAAGAGGATTCATGACATTATCCTCTCCACTTTTTACATATATTTGACACTTCTCACAATAAAAAATGGTCTAATCTTCACCTGAGAATATGCATATTGATTTTTAGAGAGAAGGGAAAAGAGAGACAGAAATATTGATGTGAGAGAGAACATTAACTGGTTGCCTTCCATGCATTCCTTGACCAGGGATTGAACTCCCAACCTGCGTATGTGCCCTGCCTGGGAATTGAACCAGCAACCTTTCAGAATATGGGGCGACACTCAACCAACTGAGCCACACTGGCCAGGGCCAAAATTTTATAAAATATAATTTAGCCTGGCTGGTGTGGCTCAGTGGTTGACCCATGCTCCAAGAGGGCACCGGTTGATTCCCAGTCATGGCAAATGCTCAGGTTGTGGGCCTGATCCCCAGTGGGGGGTATGCAAGAGTTGGTCAATCCATGTTCTCCCTCATCAATATTTCTATCTCTCCCTCTCCTTTCTTCTCTTTCTCTAATATCAATAAAGAAAAGAAAATTTAAAAAAATATATATATATATTATTTAAAGGATCTTTGAGAATAAAAGTGACTAAAAATAAACATGAAAGGTTATTCTGAACACATTTCCCAATGGTTTTTACCTTATAAAGTGATTGGAATATAAAAAATAGAATATTTTATTAATCATTTTTAAATTATAGAAATTAAAATTGTCTATCAGAAATATTTCAAGCGTATGCTTTTACTAACTGTGCTACAGTCTCAAAATTATGTGACTGCAAACCACAAATTAGAGCAAAGAAATAAGGACTGCTAAATACCTTTCTGTTCAAAATCTCCAGTACCATATATTTAAGTATTATTTCACTAGACCTAAAAGCTTCTAAATTGGCTCAGATAGTGATCCGAAACTCAATTAAGCTCTATTATCTACAAATACATTTGGCTGTCTTTATGTAACCTACGAATATCTTGTACGTATCTTCCCTGCTCCCTCTCTCAACACACTTTGCAGAAGAATTCTACCCATTGAGATTTCACAACAATGAAGGAGCAAATAGGGCCTTTTACACCATATTAGTTCCCTCCTGTTGTGTCTTCCCCAGTCACCGTGGAAGATGCAAAACTCTATATCATGAAAAACTGCTTCTAGAAATCATGGCTTCAAAACTGGAATGCTCTCCTCCTGCCATTTTTTATTTTGAGTGTGTCAGACCCAGTATGTGAGTAAACAGTAAAAACCCTTCAATAATCGGTAAAAGCCATCATCGTTGTATCTGTTGCCTTTGGAAATGACTCAAATTGTTCAACTGTTACCTTTTGTTAGAACAAACACTAAAAAAAAAAATATTAAAAAAATATATAAAAAAAAGAAGGAGGAGGAGGAGGAGGAGGAGGAGGAGGAGGAGGAGGAGGAGGAGGCTGGAACTGGAAATAGTGTGTTCATCCCACACTAAAGAAGCGAGAGAGAATGATGGTGTAGGGAAGCAGGGTGGAATGATTACATCCCAGGGTGGGTGGGAAAAAGGCTCAGGGCAAAAGCCCTCCGCCTCTTAGCTTTCTGCAAGCAGACTGATGCTGTGCTTTTCTTCAGTTCATATATTCACTAGCCACTGGTTTTCTGTTGGGAATTTTTCTATTGAATTAAATCTCAGTAATGAACAACTTCTGCTTGATGTTTTTAGGAGACTACACATCCTCAAAGAAACTTCAAGGATATACCCCTTCTGTTTCATTGACAACTTCCAGGAGCATGTACCGTTTAGAGATCTGACCAGCTCCATTCCCAATATGTGGCCCAGGTTTTTGGGTCTTCACAGTCTGATAAAGTAAAACTCTGAGCAAGGGCTGTATATTAATATATATTCCCAGCTATTCCCAGTCCTCTGATTAGATTATTACACTATAGGCGATATGGATTCTGATTACAGCTGAACATTTGAAAACCAGGGGCTAGGGAAATGAACTATTGTTTGACTTATGCTGAAATTTTAAGCAGATAAGAATCCTCAAAAAGCAGGCTTGGAATCGACAAGGTCTCTATGACTTCTATGAATGTACCATGATATAACAAGCAATTCATAAAAGCAATGAAAAAGTAAAGAATTTCACTTTACACCTTTCTAACACAAACCTCTCAAGTACTACTTTTGCTGTTATTTTGCTAACTCCAGAACATGGTACATTTCCTAGAAGGAGCAGCTGCAGACACCCTCATGCAGACAAGAGCCAGCACAGCAAACAACCCTTTGAAATTTCAGAAATTCCAGCTCAGTGCAGGAATGTCATTGTGCCAGCTGAGAAGTACTGTAAAGAACAAGCAACTTTGCTGGTGCAGCGAGAGTCTTAGTTTAATTCATGCACATATCCTCTTATTACCTTACCAAATATTCATGCATTCAAAAAAAGTAATCAAACTTTACCTGAATGATCCACTTTTGTTGAAGGAATGCTCTTAGAAGACATTATCTACACCATAAACATATGAATTTCTAGATCAATTCCAAGAAATAAACCAACTAGATATCTATGATGATATGCAGTGACTCCTTGTACACTCCAAGTGACTAATCACACCTGCAGTCCCACTGAGAACTGGCTAGGTAGCAGAAGGCCATCTGTCTATCAGTTGATGGGAGACCAGAATTTGTTATATTATAGAAGTATGTCATATAGCTGATGATATCCTTATGTTAGATGACAAGAACCCATTTAACACCAAGAGTTTTATTATGGCAAACAGGAAACAATGCATTCTTTACAAAAAAGATGCACAATGTTTTCAAACAGTGCAGGTTTTCTTTGGTACCTCCATTTCTGCGTTACCTTTCATCCTTTAGTGAGTTTTCCCCATCATCCTTAGTACTTTCAGTATTTCATTAATGTTTCGAAAATGCCCCCTGTTTCAAATGATCAACCTTGCACCTTTCTCCTATCATATAGTAACATTCTTGAAGCTAGTCTCAGCTGTGTTAGAAGAAAAATAATTCAACAGGTCGAATTCCTATTCATTCATAACTGACTTGTGTATAAACTATATTTTTGACGGGGATGCAAAATTAGCATCTCATTTTAGGTCTGATTCCATTAAGTGAAAAATTCATTCATTGTAATTAAAAGATATCTTGTGCCAGGAAACTACCAATTAGGTAGAATAATTTTTCTTAGACTATCTCAGCTAACACTTGTTATTAATTTTCTTACACAGGTATTTCAAGTAGGCGTGCACAGACCTCTTCATTTTAGATAAAACTGCCTGTGTGCAGAACTCCAAAGCTGCACCTTATTCTGGAAGATAGTTTATAGCTTTTATTAAATTTCCCCCAATATCCTTGATTCCAAGAATCTCCTAAACTGTTTCGAGTTTTCAGATCTTTAATTAATTTCAGAATTAACAAACTCTCTATTCACGCAAACATTTTTCCAAGTGCTATCTTGAATTCCAGGCAGAGACCACTCCACTGGTGGAGCACAAACAGGTGCAACCAGGGACCGACGGAGGATTCAAATGTACGTCATTTGAATGTATCCCACCGGTCATTCGAAAGTCAAGTCTTTGCAGTGGGAACATTTACACATCACATGACACACTCCCTATTTGTAAAAAGCCAAAGATGAATCTTTTCTGTGCTGTTCATCTCTGTTTATGTTCAATGGATAAACAAAATCAGAATTGAAAAGTTATTTCCATTATCCTTCTGGAAGCATCTTCTTTAATTAGGAAAGTTCTGGGTGCTAAGGGTTGGCAGCTGTTTGCTTGAGGTTTAATTCATATTTAAAAGTAGCAATTCTGCTATTTTCCTTTGAAATTATTACATGATTACACCTTATCCCACTGGTCACCGGCCATCAAATGCTGCAGGATTATCTCTATTTCCACATTGTCTTCAAGATTGTTCATTACATGATTAGTGTTAGAACATGTGGTAATTGTAAATATGATATATAGGAGGTCAACAAAGATAAGGTGTTTCTCACCATCCTGTATCCCTTTCCAAATACGATGTCTTCTAGTCTTTCAAATTTTTTGGTTTAATCAGTGATTTAAATAGCAATTGCAATGACACTTTCAATGGTTAAAGATTTAACTCTCTTTTTCCTCAAAACTACATGATTTTATTTACAAAACTCAACCTATTGCCTTCTATTGTCCATGTCCATTTAAGCATTCCTCAGTAGAAGCTACCACTTTTCAAAATAAGGATCCCTGAAAATGTACTCAGGTAGAGGAAAGTATTACTAAATCTTTTATTAAATTAATATCCCATGGGCATCAGCTGCCAAAACTATAAAAAAGGGTTAATATAAAACAAAACAAAAGTATTACAGACAGTAGCTTATCAATATTATCTTCACTCGATTGGTGGGATTTTCTCATGTAGTAACCTTTGTTCGTGAAATAACTTCATTATAAAGACTTAATTCTTAAAGGTAGCACACATCCCGGAAGGGGTTTCTTTCTGTTGCCATGAAAACTGGCCAAATAACTTTCATACCATGCTGAAATAATCTGCAACATAATTTTTATATACTAATTGAAAATAAAACAACTTGTTAAATAAGAGACTATAATTTTTTTTTTAAAGAAAACTAAGTTTTAAATCAAAGGAAGTTACAATAATATTCATAGTCAATGATATTGTGGCTATGTAGATTCAACTGGGTTATACAATCTAAACAAAAAGACAAACCATTCGCACAGATGCTGGATAAGGTATTCCAGTAGATTTTGATTTTCATAAATGTAAAACAACCACCCTAATGGGAACCGTGATCTATCACACTTCACATACCAATTCTCACATGAAAAACGTGCTGAGAGCCACAGCAGAGAACTCCTTTCCCGTGGCCAGGAGGACTCACCAGTGTGACTATTTCTTTTGAAGTAGGTGGAAGAGCTGGATTTCGACTTGGATGTCAGGTAGGTTGAGTTGGAACCAATGGAGCTTGAGGACAATGATTTTCCTAGATTATCAGAACTTTTCTTGATGGTATTGGTAGCTGTCTTACTCCAGTCTGAAAGAAATGACATCTGTCCATGAATCTGCAGAAGGGGGAATGTGTTCTAGCCTGAAGAACCATCACTGCACTAAGTAACACCCAGAGCATTGGATATAAATAACAATGAACTGAAGAAACAGCTAAGTTTCTTACTTTGACCCTATGTAAAATACTGTTTAAAATCCTACTTTAATATCTGAAGGGTGAGAAGTAACCGCTGATGGTAATTTAAAAAAAAAAAAGAAATACAATTTTTCAGTATTGAGAAAAATCTCTTGGCCGAATCATGTAACTGAGGACCTCAAAAATATGGTAGGTGCCAGTGGCACAGTGGGACCTCTGGATATTTATTAAATTAGACATTGGATCTTAAGCAACTCACTTAACCTGTATAGATGTCATGCTTCTCCTTTGCCTAAGAGAAGGGGCGGGCCCAGAGTCCTGAGATCGCTTGCACTCCTAATATCCTAAAACCCTCACTAAGCATTGTCATCTACCCAGCTTTACAATGTGCTACCATTGGGACTGGGTATCTCTAGAAATGGAAGGCCATATGACAAACTTTCCCCACTACTACTCTTAGATGTGAAAACCAACTCCCAACGCGCCCCTTACCCGAGTTGTCCGCTAACCGGAATCTGCCGCAGCAGAGATGCCGCCTCCACTGTTTCTGAACGTTCTCCTTCATGGCACAGTGGAAAATAAATATAAAAAAGCCTGGGACGAAAGAAAAAATGAACATTTAAGCCAATGGACACATTCTAAAAGATCAATCTTTGAAACACATGGATACATCTTAATTAAATTGTTTTGTACATCTGAGTCACTAAGAAGAAAAGACACTAAGAAATCTTGACCTATGTGGGAGATGTTTTGATCCTGTAGAAAAAAACACAAAGACTCAACTAAAACCAGAATTGGCAGTTGCATCTGATTTTGTCTTTGCCTGTCTTTTCAGCATTCTCTCTAACCTAAAGATTAAGGCGATATTCAAGTTAGAGACATGTAATAAGTCCCTTATATTTGTTTTAAAATTATGTGAAAATATTTCACAAAATTAGGGGAAAAATGAGAAAACTAAAAACATCCCCTCATTATCTATTTCCATTTATGTATTCTAAGCTATTTTGTGTATGCATTTATTATAAGTTGGGGCCATAGAAAAATGGTATTTTTGCAGGTCAAAAGTGGTCAAAAATTAGCAAATTCATGTGATTTCACCTGACCTGCCTGGGTTTCACAACATTTTAACGCAGAAATATTTCTGTACTGTGAAATAGTCTTTATACTTATGGTCATTCCTTGCACCTATCAAAAGCTAACTATCATTTGTGCTTTGGAAGCCAACACCTTTTATCTTCTCAAGGAATTTGCTTCTGCATTTTAACCTCTCTTTGCTGTTTCCCCAATTTCTTCCTCTATACTTGGTTATTCCCATCACTTGCAAGCATATCCAAGTAACTCTCTTTTAAAAAGAAAGAAAAATTCCACTTTTAACCCCCAGTCTTCTTCCAACTTCAACTTCTCCATTCCCTTTCCCAATAAAACTTCTTGAAATGGTTGACGTTTGCTGTCTCTGTGGCTTCTCATTTCTGCTCCTGTGAAGGCCACAGCGACTCCACATTGTTTGCTTTGTTTTCACTCCCATTGCACTAGACCTCTCAACAGCAGTCAACACAGCCAACCATAAGCTCATTCTTGAAATGCATTCTTGACACCATTTTTTGCTAGATTTCTTCTTAGTCTCCTTAGTAGAATCCTCAGCTTTACTTTTAAATGTTGACATGTCTGTGACTCAGTCTTGGGTTTCTATCTTTTCTATGTCTACTCATTCAATCACTTTGTACACAGATCATCTGCTAATTTTTATATCTCCCCGCCCCCATCCCCTTCTCTCCACACCACCACCAGGATTACAACCTAAACTGATTACAGAATACTGTCTCTTGGCTACATCTCCATTTAGCAGCATCTCAAACCCTTGATGTTCTAAATAGAAGTCGTCTTCATCACTACCCTCAAACCAACATATTAAGCTCATTCCTGCCCAATACTACTCTGAAAGTTCTTCCTTCAGATTTTTTCATAACCGGTTCCTTCATATATGTCCATTCAGAACTCAGATCAATTGTTGTTTTTTAAAAATATGTTTTATTGATTTTTTTTTTTATCCTCACCCGAGAACATTTCTCCATTTTTTGCACAGATAGAGTGGGAGGGAGAGAGAGGGAGAGAGAGAGAGAGGGAAACATCGATGTGAAAGGGACAACATCGAGTGGCTGCCACCCGCACGACCAACCAGGGCCGGGGACAAACTGCAACCGAGGTACATGCCCTTAGCGGGAACCGAACCCGGGTCTCTCCGGACCACAGGTGGATGCTCTAACCGCTGAGCCAAACCGGCCAGGGCTATTGATATTTTTAGAGAGAGATTAAGGGAGAGGGAGATAGAAACATCGATGAGAGAGAAACATTCATCGGCTGCCTCCTGCATGTCCCCTACTAGGGATCAAGCCACTACCTAAGCATGTGCCCTGACCAGGAATCAAACTGGCAACCTCTTGGTGCATGGGACGGTACAAACTAACTGAACCACACCAGCTGGGCTCAGATCAATTGTTAACTGTTCAAAGAGGCGATCATGATATGCTTATTTTTATCTTTTATGTTTTAGCCTCTATTACATGGTTGTACATAGCTATTTTTGTCATGGTACAGACCAATACGTAATATTCTTGTATTCCTCATTTATATTCATTTATTTGTTTGCTTGGTTGTCTTTTGCTAGTAGATAGTGAGCTCCAAGAACCCAGGAAATGTGTGTCTATCCCTTGGCTTTACTGGCCGTTCCCAGACTAACCAGAAACTCCAAGAATGTTTTTTAAATGACTTACCTAGTCTACATTGGTTAATTGAAAACTTACATGCACATATTAATGTGTTAAATGTGCTTAGAGATGGAGGTTTAAAAATAGGAATGAGCCCTGGCCAGTTTGGGTCAGCGGTTAGAGCATCGGCCCACAGACCAGAGAGACTTGGGTTCGTTCCCACTAAGAGCAGGTACCTTGGCTGCAGTTTGTCCCCAGCCCCAGTGGGGGTTGTGTGGGTGGCAACCAGTCGATATGTCTCTCTCACATCGATGTTTCTCTCTCCTGCTCCATCGGAAGATAAAATGCAAAAAATGTCCTCTGGTAAGGATAAAAAATAAATAAAATTAAATAAATAAATAAAATAAAATAAAATAAAAATAGGAATGAGCAGAATGCAAAATAATGGGTGATCGGATACAATGAAAATACATTAAAGGCAAAAGTTCCTGAAAAGCACTCAAATCATTTGCCAAGATCCTACTGCCTTAGTAACATAGGAGACTAAGGAGAATAGTATGGTATATTACTAGGCAGGGAGGCCTTTTTAGAGGCTGAGGAAACTCTGAGTAGGGAGGGAAGAGAATTTCCAGCACGATGATTCATGCAGGGACGAGTGAGCACTGCGGGGCAGGACGGGCTGTGCGGTAGGAGTTGGAAGTTCAAAGGCACATTTAAGAGACATTAAGACTTATCTGGGTTTTGTTGTTGTTGTTTTTTTAAAATATGGAGTTTCTAGCAAGTAAACTGTAAGTTACATTATAGAATGTACAACTGGAAAGTGGGAACAAAGTATTACATCAAAACTTATCTTTTTAAAAAATATATAAACTATATTTATATATAAATTTGAGACCGAGGTCTAAGGTTATGGTTATACATTGTTTTTCAATATCCTAACTCAAAACAGCCTTTAACTGTATTCCAGAATAAATCACATCATTTTGAATTATTAGAAAAGGAGCAGGATTTCTCCAGGATGGGCCCCGGCCGCCGTGACATGGCCGTGGCTGCTTCCCCTCTGGGTCTGACACAAAGCAGGGGCTTTATAAATCCCCGCTGAAGTTACTGGCTGAAAATGATTACATATTTCCACTTGCAAAGAAATGCCATTATAAAAATAATGACTAAACTTGGGTCACTGGTTCCAAATAGACAACTAGCCTGTTAAAAATTTCCTCCAAAATTCAAACACATTTATCACTGGAGGTATAAATAAGGCCTTCTATGACCTAAGTGAAGTAGTATTAGAAATCAGTAATATTTTCACTTTATTGAGTGCTATTATTATTATGTAATATATATAACTATATTTAAAGTAAAATGCTATTATTTTATTTATTATTATTTGTTGTTAATGTTTTATTAGTAATAAATTAATTAGTGGAAGAAATAGATTCTAGTGACCTAGTTATTTATGTCAAATGGTATCAGACAGTGCAGGGAAGTTCTCATTTTAAAAGAAAGCACTAATAAACATGAATCACATTTCAATCATTCTGCACACACACGCCCCTCCTGAAGGCCCCTGTGTTGCGGACAGGGAGGAAGAAGCTGGGTGGGGGAGGGAGAGCTGGGGAGAGGAAGAAGTCTGCTTCCAGAGGGGCCTGGCCCCTACTGGGACCCCTTAAGTCTCCGAGGAGGGGCAAGATGTTCTTCCACATTCACATCCCTCAGAACCAGGACCTGCAGGCTGATCCACCTTCCCGGGGAAGAAGAAAAAGCTTCGTCTTCACAAGTGACTAAATCTGACCCTTTTCAAAGCCTCCCACACCTCCAGCCCCCATTCCCCAGGGGGTTCGCTAGCACAGAAAATCCCTTCAATAAGTAAACACGCTTTGTATCACCGAAAGTGTGAATCACCAAAATAAATAATTTGAATTGGTTAACAGATCCTTTAAAATTTTTAAGAGGTGGTGGCAGTTTCAGAGGAAAGAGAGCAGCAACCTAGAAGCCTGGGGTGAGGTCAGCACAAGGTCACAGATGAAGGAGGGAGTCTCTCTGCCTCGGGTTTTCTCTGTTGTCTAGGGCAGAATTTGCAGAACTTGTTCCTTGAAGTATTTTTGTCACACAGCTGAAAATATAGGTAACCGTGTGTTCTAAACTAAATGTTTAACAAAATCACATATTAGAGCTGAAAGAGATCATAAACTCCAAGTGAGGACTTTCTTTCCTGGGCATCGGTGCAGGCATTACTCAGCACAGGGCCCTGCACTGAGCAAATGATTTTGTTTCATTTGAGGGAAAAAAGGTGAAATTTGCTAGATGTTGCTTCCCTTAGCACTCAGTGGTTTCTATAAATGTCACACGTCCTGGAGGCAAAAACTTCAGAGGTGTTTTGAGGACCCCGAAAAAACCAGTTCTCAGATTTGCTTTTTTGGCCTAGCAGGGATGCGAAACGTAAATGGTTCTGAGCATTTCATGCTGACCACAACCACGGAGGAGGAGGCTAAATGTAAGCTATAACGAACTTCGCGAAACCACCTTTTAGATTGTGCACTGCTGCTCTAAATTATAATTAACGATATAGCATCAGATGACATTCCTATTCCGGTTATTATTATTATTATTATTATTATTTGCATGCAACCCCAGTTTTATTTTGCAGCTGCCCAGGTTTTCGACTGAGATGTGCTAGCTCAGAAGTGCAAGCAGTTACTCTGAAAAGGCACATTAGTCACATACATGCTCATAGCTCATAAGCTAAGATTTTCATGGTGGGAGTTATTACTGCATTTTTGTTTTTAATAACTAGTTGTTTTTTTTTCCTTCAAAGTATAACTTTTTGATATTGTTCTGGGATTGACATCCTTATTTTTAAGCATCCACATTTGCCTGTAAATATAAAGG